TCCCTTCCAGGCAGCCTCCCTGGCCAGCTGCAAGGACCTAGGCAGGCTGTCTGGGGGTGATGGAGAGCATCATTAGGCTCCATTTTCACGCTTTGCTTTCGGGTTGTCCCCGTGCCCCACCTCCTGATAGCTTGTGGCGCGGGGCCACGGCTTAACGAATTGCTGAAAACGGGCCCCAATTAGTGGAAGAGGGCTTTCTTCATATTTTCTCATTCGAGTGTGCAATGATTCATTTTTCTTCAGCAATCAGCTCGCTGCTAAAGGAAATCTGAGTCTCTTCCCGCCACCCCCAACCCCCCGGCAAAGTTAATTTTAATGGGTGTGCAATTGGTGTGGAGCTTCTGGGGGATAATGGCAGAGCGTGGGGACTAGGAAGGAGGAACCTAACAGTTTTGTCTGCTTGTCTCCCCCTTTCTCTCTTTCTTTCATTTGTTCATTCATTCTTTCTGTCATTTGGGGAGCTTTCTCGGAGATTAATGAAGCAGCTAAGAACTGCATAAAATGTTTTAAGATGGTCTTATATACGTATTAAAGTCGATTTTTATCCTCCATTTTTAACATCACATATTAAAATCTAAACTTCAAAGCATGTTCTGTTACTTTGGAACTGTTTAAAAGTGAACAATATGATTTGGATTGGAATATTGATTTATCAGTTTTTGATAAGTATTTGTTGTTAAATCAGATTTCCCTGGCTAATTTGGAGCAAATACAATCTGACCATACCATATAAGACACTAAAAAATCAAAAAAACCAAGCCTCTTGCCGTCGAGTCAATTCCGACTCTAGACCTAATGGGAAAAATGTTGGATTGAGAATCTTGAGGAGAAATGAAAATGAGGAATTGATCTTTTACAAGCTTATTTCTCAGGCACTCTAAAAGTTCCACCAGTGCATTTAATGGAAACTAGAGACAGTGACCCCCTGCTGTGAGCCCCACTTTTAGTGTGAAAAAGTGACCTTTTCCTCCCTTTTTTTGTGCTGAGTTTTATGTAGAGCAGAAAATTTAAGTGAAATTTAAAGAGATTCAAGGTATATACATATTGATAAAATCATGTCTCCCACTTCATTAAATTAAAATTACACAGTTAATTATCTCAGGTTGTTAAAGATAAGGCAATGAATTACCATTTAAAAAAATCTGGTTTGGAAATTTATGTAATTTTCTGCATGTGTTTTCCCAATTGAGTGTGTGGTTGTATATGTTCTTCTGAAAAACATAAAGAATTTCATTTTAATTAAGAGCAGCCAAGACGAAAAAGGATTTCCTTTAAAAAAAAAAAAAGTGAAACATTGAAAATAAATAATTTAAAATTATTTAAGGGCTCAGAATATTCTGACTATAGCATTTAAAATAAGTTTTCTTAGATTTTACTCATTTTACTCTTTGATAGACATGAGCATTTTCTGCCAGATTAATAAAGACTTGCCAGATTTTGGCAGCCATATAAATGAGGAAGTTCGCAGCTTCTGTGAAGTTCTACCCATTGAAACCTACCCTCCCTCCCCCGGGTTTGCATGAGGACCTTGTAGGCTGAAGGTTGATGATTGCAGAATTTTTTCCACACAATCCTGAGGGCTCTGATTGGGACTGATAGCCACATTTTACATAGGCTTTGTTATATGTTGCATGGTGTTTAGGTATGAACTTCCTAAAGGTGTGTCCAGGTTTGAGTAAAAAGGCTTCTG